ATGTGCTCGAAATTGAGCACTGTGGGATGAGTCATTGCCGCTAGCATTGCGCATAGCTCACTCGGCTTTTCTAGTTTGAGCACTCTGGCATGGCTTAGACGATACCACAAATGTGGTATCGTTTGGGGTGAACATATTGGTTCTCCCCCATCGCAGCATTAGCATATATAAAAAGTTTAAAAATTGCGAGGATGGACAACTTCTGACGTAAAAATATAAAAAAATTTAAAAAAAACGTTTCGGTCAGAGACCATCTTCAGTTATTTACAACTTTTGAAATAAAGAAAGAGCAAGAGCATTAAATAGGATCGAGGTACTAATGATTACGTAATTACAGATAACGACTAATGATCTGGTGCTAATAAAAAGATAACAAAAAACCTAATTACAGAGAAAGCAATGGACAAAATACAAGAAACAAACCCTAAAAACTAAGAGATAAGAATACTAAATATGTTAATATGAGTGGCGTAACCAATTGCAAAGAAGCAATGCGGCAAGCATTAAAAATATATCACTAACTTTAATGGGAAAGTTCATTTTGGGGTAGCTCAAACTGATAAAACAAAACTAAAGCAAAGAAAAAAAACCTTTTTGAATGCAATGACTGAAAAGGAGGTGCTGAAGCGTAGACTAAACATCTGGATAGAATACCTCTCAATTCCCCTTTAACACGGTGTGCTATGTGAACAAATGGGATTAAGAAAGAAAATACGTACAAAAGACAGATTGTAGGGGATATCTGAGGAAACCGAGAAAGTAAAACAAGTTTAATTTTCAATTAATTGAATATTTGTCCTTTTTGTTCGAAGATCCTCGATTCCACTGTTTACCAAAACGTTCTTTAGCTAGCTCAGCAAAACAACACTCGGATTGTTTCTTTCACCGCTTGTCTTACTTCACTGACTTTCCAACAGTAAAGGAAAGGATTTACAGCTGAGTTAAAGAAAGCCATTGCTAAGGTCACATCCCAGATTAGGTCGAAAAATGGTGTAGCAAATTTTCTGTATGTATATACCGCTTGGACTATTGCATGTGGTACATAACAAGCTATCATTGTTATTTGTATCCACACTAACATCGTCACTGTCCTTTTGTATCGCGCAATGTTGAAGGCTTTGCCTTGGGGACCTTGCTCTGGCATTTGTATCTGCATTTGCTGTTGGCGAAGGTTGAAGTATATTTTTGCGTAACAAAACGTCGAGAAGGCCACACAGAGAAAATCAATTATAAAAATGCTGACATTGATCACGAACGAGTTGTAAAAAACCGTTGTTGCAATGACAGAACCTAAAAGCCAGAAGAAGACCACTGTAACCCGTACTCGTCTACTAGTCACTTCCTGTCGGTATCGCAGCCGCAATAACAGAGCTAGCAGTCTGTCTGCACTTATTGCTGTCACTGTTAACATTGATACTAACCCGAGTAATGCAGCGGTACAATAAGAAATGGTTTTGATACTTTTGCAAGCTCCAGTGTGCTCTTGAGACATTAAAAAGCTAACGAAAAGCGGCCCTGCAAGAAGGCCAGCACCAATATCAGTACTTGCAAGGCAGCGGAGGAGAATTTTTGACGGTGGATGAAGGGAATATACCCTTTTTAGCGCAACAATTATTAAAACGTTACCTATGAAAGCAGTCATGGAAATGATAACAAATAATGCAATAATAAATGTCTTTTGTTGCAATCCATACTGGCGAATCGCACAGAAAATGTTGTGACCACTCGATTGGTTTCTATATAATGTTGAGTTGGCAGGCATTTCTCTTTCTCGCCTTTGACTTCAGTTGCGGTTTGTAGTCTCGTTTTAGTTGTTATCATCTGTACATGTATTCAACTCAGGATTCTTCACTTCGCTCCATTTGAGAGCCACCACTTTTATGACTTTTAAGCTCGACTTAGCCNCCCGCTTAAAGTTATCTCTGTTCTAAGGGAAACTAATTCAGATAATTTACTACCAATTGAAAGAACATAAACTTTGTGACAGTCTTTCCTGCCTCTGTCATCTTAGTACTAAAACTGTACTTACATTCATGAAAATATCTTGTGCATAATTGTCTGTGTCTGAGTCCCACAGGCATCTGCATGCTACCCTGAAAATTTAATTTTCATGCATGCTAGTACAAACTTCTGGTATGCAAGGTCAGATTTTTGGTCACAATGAAAGTGACAGATACAGTGTTATGTCCCTGAATGAGCATATTTTCATGGAGGGTTGCAGAAAGTTCACTTTTCTGTGTTCTTTGATACGACTTAAAGGACAAACAGAAATATCCTTTCTTCTGTAACAACAGGAAAATGCTCCTTTCTAGGTAAATTTTAAAAAGAGACCTTTGTCATATTTGACACAAGGTTTGAGAATTGGGGAATATCACTCAAGGAATATCACTGGATATCTCTCTGCTTTAGCTGGTATGAATTTGATTACATGATGTATCTCAGGGGCCAATTGCACACACAAAAATATTTTATGGATTGGTATTGTAAATATGCCCCATTATTATCCAACTACACCTACACGAGTACAAATAACACCATAGACAAGTACAAATTGCACGTGCTATTTGTACTCGTCTATTTTAGTACTGGTTAAAACAGGTTTTCTTGCATCGCGCAAGCAAAGAATTGGATTGTAGTTACGAAAAAAAAAACAAATGATGGACAATTTGAATCATATTTCCGACGACGAAGAGTCAGAATGGCTGGCAAATATAGATCCAAGTTCATTAGATGAATCGAACGAAGAAAAATAGCTTGACGACCAGAAAATTTCTTCATTTAATGAAGAAAATAGAAACAGCAGCACAACAACGCGCCAATTCCGTTCCGCTTCGCATACTTCTCTCGCGCACTCCCCGTTAATAAACTTTCGCGAAATTTGCCCGCGCTGAAATAACAGTTTGGCGTGTTGTATAATAAATAACTTATTAGACGTTTTGTTGTGTAGTATCGCTGAATATTTTTACTCGTTATTTGTATTTTGACTCGCCCTACGGGCTCGTCAAAATACGGCACAACTCGTAAAAATACTCAGTGATACTACACAACAAAACGCCTAATAAGATATATATATTAGATGATTATTTTTAGATTAAAAATATCTGTACGGCAGGTACAGAATCATCTTAAATTATAGAAAACGCGAGTTAGCTCCTCACGAACGGCACAGATGTTTAATCTATTAAAGCTTTGTAGAAGACACGTTTTTGGTGCTCGGATAAAATCCAGTGATAAATCATCGAAAATTTCCTCATCAAGTGTTCTTTGCATTGGTAATTTGCAGGAAGGTTTTTCACACTTGAGGAAGGTGCGTGCTTTATTCCTTTCTAGGAAACAGTTTGCATATTTAGACCCATATCTGTCAGATTTATAAACATCTGTTCCAGCCAAAATCATCGCCACAGGTACAGCCATGATGATAATGCAATAAACAAGTAAATTAAGCTTTTTGAAGCGAAAAAACTCG